GATGGAGTAAAGTTTTGTGTATTATTTGGTATTTTTATTGCTGTCCATTCTGTAACCTTTTGCAGGATTGTGAGCTGCATCTGGTGATTTTCGTCTTGTCACTGTAAAAAAGAAAAGTTTCTGAAAAATGTATAATTGTCCTGTGTTTCCAAATTCAAGCAAAGGGGGAAAATAAAAAAAAAGAAGTGAAATTAAAAAGAGAATAGACATAAAAAATAGAGCAGAATTGTGAGAAACGAACAAAATTCAATGTGCTTACGTGGGTGCATTTCACGAGTCTGTCTGTATCTGTATATGTATATATTTTGCCTATATGTACTCTACCTATGAGTACCTGTACATTTCTGCATGTTTGTACATTACATGTGTATCTGTGTATTTATGTGTGTATATAGGTATTTATACATAAATATGTCCTTGTATGTGTAAATATGTTTATTTATGCATATATTTGTGTACGAGAGAGAGCGCATGTGTGTTTGTGCATATATATATATCATATATGTAGGTATATGTTCTGGCAAACGTGGCTGTATTTGTACATGTTTGACTGGAGGCATGCATACGTAAGTGCATGTGAACTCAAGTATACATATGTTTGCCCAGAGTGTATGCATATGTATGTGTACACATGTGAATGTGTGTAGGTGCATGCATATGGGCATACAGCTTTTGTCAGTTTATGAAATAAGATAGGGTCTACATAAGTAAAAACTGATCTATGATATCTCAAAAGAGACAAAACAGCAGGTGGCATCATCAAAATCGGTAACACTCAGAGATCCTACCCATAAAACGATGCCTCACCAACCCCGCCCCAATGAAGAAGTAAAAAACACAAAATGGTTTAAAAAAGCACCTTTCATCTGCTAAGCTCCGGTCATCAACAGTTTTATATACCATTATATCATTGGCATAGATACAGGTATATCTCAAGTTATATCGTTTTGGGTTAAGTCATTCTTGATTATACGTCGTTTGTCAAAAAAATATATGGAAAAATAAAAATGAAGTTTAAGTCATTTTATTCGACTTCACATCTGTCCGCCACAAATACGGAAGTCGTAATTTCACTAGAAAAGCATTAAAAGCATATAAAATCATGTTACTGTACAATAAATAGGAATAAAAGTATATAAAATCATATTAAAATATGTACATTTACAGTAAATGTTAATATAATCATCATAAATCCTAGAGAACGAAATATGAAAACATCGATGACTCTGTGTTGTCATCTTATTTGGCAGTCTTTAAGAGCTCAATATTGGCGTTTTCCATGGTAGTTCCAATATCTACCATTTGGCATCGTTGACAGTGCCACTCGTGATTCCCACAAAAGTGAAATCCAGTTTAGTTTATTTGTGACTTTATATTTGCCCCAATGGCTCCTAAGAAAATTCCTAGTGCAAATGCTAAGCATCATGCTTAACGCTGGACGATAAACTCACTAGGATAAAACACCATGAAAAGGCCATATCAATTGCTGGATTTTTTGGGATGAGTCGGCAACTGTATTGATGATTGTTCACAATAAGGATAAGATTTTGGCACATATCAAATCTGATGCCCCAGGGATGAACAATACTGTTATCAATAATAAAAGAGGAAAAATCTTTGAAGAGATGGAACAAATTCTTTCTCTTTGGATTGATAGGTTGAATCATCGGCGTGCTGCTATTAGTCAAGAAATCATTCAAGTGAAACCATTCCTTGTTTGAGGACCTGAACAAAAAATATCCAGATGAGAAAGATGTAGAGCTTAAAATGAGTCAAGCCTTGTTTATGAGATTTAAAGAATGAAGAATTTATCACTCTATTAAGAAGCAAGGTGAAAGTGCATCAGCTGACAAACAAGTAGCAGCTGATTTTCCTAAAGCATTGGCTAAGATCATCAAAGAAAACAGGTTTCTTCCTGAACTGATTTTTACCATTGATGAAACTGGATTATATTGGAAAATATTGCCAGACCATTCTTTCATTGCTAATGCTAAGTGTAAGGCTATATTGCTGATGAATTATTTTAATCAGAATACTGTACATACATATCATAAATACAGTAATATGCAATGGGGAGTGCTTATTTGTGGTTTATAGTGTGGTTATATCAACTTAAGTTGTTTTTCAACCTAAGTTGTGACCTCTGGAACCAATGAACGATGTAGGTTGATGTATACTTGTATTCACAAATAATCAGAGTATACGCTTACGCAGATCATTTATGTAGAAGAGGAAGAGGGTTAGACCAAGAAGCAAATCTTGGGAGAAGCCCACATTGAATGCCTGGGATTCAAAGGACTGGCCATTGACAATTAGCTTCAGGGACCTAACTGTTAGGAAGAACTTTATAAATGAGAAGTCACTTCCAGTGGCTCCATAGCTAGAGAGCTTGAGCAGTAACACTTTATGCCACACTTTGTCAAAGGACTTTGAAATATTTAATGTGACTATCCTTGAGATGTATTTATTGTTAAGTGCCTCACTATTTCTGGGAATAATCACGGTTAGGTTATCAGCAGTGGACTTAGCATATCAAAATCCATACTGTTTGTCACTCTGGAAACTGTCACTATTGACATGATTAACAACCTGGTTGTTGATTATAGCTTCAAAGAGTTTGCTGATAACATTAAGGAGACTGATGGGTCTATACTGTGAAGGGGATGAGCACTCACCCACATTTTGAAAACTAGGCTAACTTGACACTTTCCCCAGACTTGAGAAGGATTTATATATATATATATATATATATATATATATATATATATATATATATATATATATATATATATAAAAGGCAAACATTAATATTCCATGCTTATAATTATGATAATAAATTATAACCATATTAGTGTTTGAGCCTTTTATATTATATTCTTACTCTATACTGGACATTGAGTTCCACCTGGATTCTCTCCTCTTAGAAATTTATATATATATATATATATATATATATATATATATATATATATATATATATATATTGACCACTAATATTATCTATCTATCTATCTATCTATCTGTATGTATATATATATATATAATGGCTATTTTTGTAGTGATTTTATATCATATTTATGTTATAATTTTTTATAAATAATAATTATATCTGCTCTACTTTGTATTGAGCACTCTTTTTAAGAATAGTAATTGTTGGTTATTGGAATTATTCCATATATACCATATATATATATATATATATATATGTGAATTATTTTTAACTGAGAAAATCAGCAATTGCTAAAATTTCCTAAATTCTAAATTCGGGATATCAATCAATGTGACATATTCTATATTTGTATTAATCCTAAACACACATATATATATATATATATATATATATATATATATATATATATATATATATATATATATATATAAATATATTGTGCAATTGGGCAGCAAGCCCTCTTTCATATAAGTTTATTAAATGACTAACAAGTTACTCTGGTTAAGTTTTTCTTTATTCTCCAATCATTTTTAATGAAACTTGTACAAAAGGTGCTAAAAGATTGATTTGGTATCTTGATTTCAATCACTTTCTCACCAATGTGACATGGCTTCTCTCTCTCTTTTCTACAAATATTTTCATGGCAACTGTTTTGATGAGCATTTTCTCCTTAGTGTCTCGGCTACAAGAAATTAAGCATGATCTGAGCAGCTAGGTCTCTCTGTTTTACTGTTGAACTCAAACTAGATGCAACTTCTAATAGTTCCTTTTCTCACACTTCTCACCTGTGACATTCACTTCCTATTTATTACTTCCTTGCCACTTACTATCTACAAAAATTTAAATGCAATTTTAGTTGGCATTTTCTGTCTTCTTGAATCCGGTTTTTTTATTGTTATTTTCTTCACTTCTCTCTAATGTCTTTGCATTCTCTCTTACTCCCTGCATCCTAGTAGTATTATCACCTTGCTTGGGGTTAAATGGATTAATATCCTTGAAAATGAATGTTGTAACATTCAAAAGTACCCAGGGGAAAAATAATATAAAATAAAAGTTAATATGAATTTGGGCAAATTTACCAATAAGACAAAAAACTTATTTTGAAATTTGCAAGATTCAATAAAAAAATTGATAGACCGAATTTGCCCATATTACTTAAAAAAACATCTTGAGAGAATTCTTTGTTCTGAAATACACCATAAATATATATATATATATATATATATATATATATAAATGATATTATATGAAAAGATTACTTTACTTTTAAATATCAATTTTATCCTGACATCAATGTTTCTTGGTAAAATTTCCACTCTTCAGGGGTTGTTAAGTAATCTTTTCATATAATATCATTAACACTCTATTTTTAATATTATTTTAATATTTTAAATTTTAAGCCCTATATATAAAAATATCTGGTGTTTCTTAAATCTCATATATATATATATATATATATATATATATATATAAAATATATATATACTGAGTAGTAGAAAAAGTAAGGAATAGTATTTGGAGAGAAAGATAGATTGTCAGAGAAAAAAGCAATTTTAAAAAATAGTAAAGACCAGTAAAAAATAAAATTCTTAAAAAGAATGAATAAAAATGAATGAAAAAATAAAGAATATATCTTTATTTGAGTTTTATTTTATTTATTTATTTTGGTAGTGGGGATGCTATCCATCCTGTTAAATGGATGTGTTCTTTCATCCTGAAGGATTTCATGGTAAAATCTTAGCGAGTTTAATGCAATAAGAGGATATTAATAATAAAATAGACGCATTTGTAGATGAGAAAGTATTTTTTTCCGTTATTCAATGCAACCATTCGTCTTTGTCTTTCTCCCTCTCTTATTCTGTTATGTTTTTGCACTCAACCCCCCCCTCTCTTTGTCAAGAGATGAGTTTGAAAGAAATGTATTACGTGAAATCAACAATGAAAGATAATTCGGGTAAAACATTTTAAAACTGTTCAGATTAGATCATCTTTGCAAAGGTTATTCATTGTCGGAAGATGAGTGAAGGTGTTTATTTATTCATAAACCTAATCATGAAGTATGTTGCTGAGAGGAAAAGGAGGAGGAGTAGACAGTGAATAAGCAGGAGGGGGAATAGAAGGAGGAGGAGGAGGAAGAGAAGAACATGACTAAGCAGGAGTGGGAGTAGAAAGAGGAGGAAGAGTAGAAGGTGATGAGCAGGAGGGAATGAATAGAAAGAGGAGGAAGAGTATAAGGGGAATAAACTAGAGGGGAGGAATAGGATGAGGAGGTGAATAAGCAGGAAAGAGAGGAATAAAAGGAGGCAGAAGAAGAGTAAAAGAAGGAGCAGAAGAGGAGGACATGGGTGGAGGATGTACAGCCAGAAGAACCAGAAGAGAAGAAACTGAAAGAGATAGGATAGTAGAAAAAGAACGATGAATAGAAAAAGAAAGAATGAGGAAAGAAGAATAAGGAGGAGGAGAAGAGAGAGGAAGAAAATGAAGAAAAGGAAGAAGAAATAGGAGTTACAAAATGAGGAGTAGGATAAGGAGCAAAAGAAGGACATGGAATAGAAGAAAGGGAGGAGGAAGAAGACAATAATGAACAGGAGAAGATGATGCAGGTGGAGGATGTGTGGTCAGAAGATGAGGAAGAGAAGAAGCAGAAAGAAATATTACAGCAGGAGAAAAGGTAGTTGTAACTGTAGGAAGGACAAAAAGAAAGGATAATGGATAGGAGAAAAAGAGAGAGAGGAGGAAAATAAATATGAAGAGAATGAGAAAAAAGAACAAGGATGAAAAGAAGGGAGAGGAAAAGGAGTAGAAAGAGAAAAAAGAAGTAGTAGTCTCAGAAGGAAGAGTTGCAGAAGCAGCAGCAGCAGATGAAGAAGAAGAAGAAGAAGAAGAAGAAGAAGAAGAAGAAGAAGAAGAAGAAGAAGGAGGAATAGGAGTTGCAAAATGAGGAGGAAGAGTAGGAGAAGGAGCAAAAGAAGATCACCAAATAGAAGAAAGGGAGGAGAACAAGAAGTGGGAGAACAAGGAAAGAATGAGGACATTGAAAAGAAGAAGAACGAAGCAAGAGAGAAGGAGGTGGTGAAGAATGAGGAAAAAGAGAAGAGGAAGGTGAAGATGAAAAAGGAGGAGATGAAAAGGATGAAGAGAAAGCAAGTGGGAAATATTGAAGCAACAATCACAACAAAATAAAATAAAGGAAGAAGGAAATCACATAACCCTGCAAATGCTGTTTATCTACCATGAATTTTCAAAAAATATTTCTGTATATAAAGAATTGTAAATCTTGCAAATGTCTCCACTTGAACCAAATCTTTAGACTTTTAAGATATGCTTCATACAGCTTCAATAAAACACTGTATATAAACAAAAAATGATTGTATAAATGTGCAACTAAGGCAATTGAATATCCTTTGCATGATTTCCAATACTCTTCAAGGATCCAACAGTATGGAGATTAAACTTTCGTTGTACAATAAGTACTGCAACAAGAAATAATACTTTTTTCATATTACTATAAATTAAGCATTCCAAATTATGAATATACTTTTAAAATTTTTTTATTATAGAAGTTTATATAAATCAATAGTGACATCCAGTTTGCTATGTCAATTAATTGTAAAATGATGCCCATAGGCAAACCAAAAGAAAGTTTTCAAAATTACATAGTATTACATATTAAAAATTCCTGATGATGAGTATCTAAAAAAAAACAAAAAATAAATTTTACACTAGAATGGGATCCAGTTTACTATGTAAATTCATTTCAACATGACCCACCACTATAAAAGCTAGAATAAAATATGCTCATGCCACGACAGAAAAAGAGGGAAAATTAAACACTCAAATTCGTAAAAAGCTATAAAAACTGATGACTTTTACTGTTTTGAGAAAATGGAAACATAAAGGAAACTTCTACTTAAAATCAGGAAGAGACAGTTAAAATTTCTGGAGCATGTGCTGAGGAAGATGGGTTTGGAAAACTTGATACTCACACGACAGATTGAGGGAAAGAGGGACAGAGGAAAGCAGCACAAAACATACTTGATGTAAATGGATTGTAGTGCAGGGTTTGTGAGAGCAAAAAGACAAAACTTATTGAGAGCTACAAGGGAGAGGAGGATGTGGAGAGCCATGATCACCTACATTCTCAAGGGAAACGGCACATAAATTGAGATGCCTATAGACTTAACAACTTTCATAAACAAGATGTGATCAGAACTTATTTTAAAAGTTCCGATGTTTATATTTATCTTGCTTTCACGCGTATACACACACACACATTATGAATTAACCTTTCTCATCCAATTTTCAACGAACACTCGGCAGTTGGCAATCACTGAAACATGATGTGTGAAATTTGTAAATAGTTTCATGTTTATTAACACTATTTACATTGTTTGGACTGTTCTCATCTCCATTGCCATATTCACATTTCAGCCATTATATGCTCCAGCTTTATTCAGGTGATTGGATTTTCAAACTGAGCCTCTTATTTTGTCCACTGGGGTAGATTGTTCTATTTCCACGTGCCAGGCCTCTTGGGTGTCTCAATATCAGTTATCACTCTTTAACTCAACTCTCCATGTTTTTTCCTCCTCTGCTGTAGCCAGGTATTGAACTCACAACTCTTTGGGTGAAGTTACTGGATTCAACTATTGCTTTTAACCACTTGGCCATGTGTCCTTGAAAAAGGGCCAGAGCATACAGCAACCTAAACATTGTGCATATGGTAATGAAAATGAGGAGAATAGTCCAAACAATGTAAATAATGTAAATAATTACAATACCTCATCTCAGAAATATAGACAGTTTGATTACTTGCATTATTTACATTATTCAAACTGTTATCCTCATCTTTATTGTCATATTCACAATGTTTCGGCTGTTGCACGCTCTGGATTTTTTCAGATGACTGGAATTTTGAACTGAACCCTTTATTTCTTCCACTGGGGTAGATTGTTCTATTTCCACGTGCCATACCTCTTCTGGATGTCTCAGTTATATCCCTTTAACTCAACTCTCCAAGTTTTTGGTTCACCACTGTTGTGGGCTGGTATTGAACTCACAACTCTTTGAGTCTAGTCACTGGATTCAACCAATATCTTTATCCACTGGGCAATGTTTGAAATTCCATTAACCTGAAGAAGGCCAGAGCATACGACGTTGTAAATATGGAAATGAAGATGAGGATAATAGCCCAAGTAATGTAAATAATGCAAGTAATCATAATACCTAATCTCAGAGATATAGACAGACAGTTTGATGTTTATTTCATATAGATATTTTCTCTTTTTCATTCCTATTTTACTGTTCTGTTTTCTTGCCTGCTGATGAATCACAACATGACTTTTCTAGCAATTTATGCCAAATTCTTTATAGTCAAATAGTCCTGGGCATGACGATAAACTACACCCAGCAGCAAGGCATCTGATCAAGAGATTGAACTTTTTTGCCTGCTGATGAATCACAACATGACTTTTCTAGCAATTTATACCAAATTCTTTATAGTCAAATAGTCCTGGGTATGACGATAAACTACATTCAGCAGCAAGGCATCTGATCAAGAAATTGGAGGTTTTTTGCCTGCTGATGAATCACAACATGACTTTGTCTAGCAATTTACACTACATTCTTCTTGGTATTTGTCAGTCACCTTCTTCTTTTAAAGTTGGTAGCAGAATAGCAGTCATGTATCACTTATACAAGGTCACATATTGACTGCCTCCGTAATTATTAGTTTTTCAATATCATTCTTTTCGACTCATCTCTACCTGCTGGCTTTTTTTTTAAATTCATTGTTATGTGGATTTTAGCCTAAATTGTTTGAAGCACAAACCCAAGATCATACCAAATGGCGATGTTCCATGACTATCAGAACCAAAATCTTTGAAGCCACCAGAAGCAAAAAGGAAGAAATCATCAAATGACAAGTAAGAAAGGCTCAACATATTCAAGGCCATCCTCCGGCAATCAATGCCATCGGTTCTTCCATGCAAGAATTGGTCTACTTAGTTGTCAACACCATTATCATAAATGAAGAGACCAGCAAAGGAGAAATAAAGCTAATAACGACATTAGTGAGTGCTGAAAAGTTCTAAACCCAAACTATTTTCCAAAATCTGACCAAATGACCAATCATAATTTTTTTTTAAATTCCATCTTGGTCAGGCTGTTAACTTTCCAGTACCACTTGTATGTCTGTTATTTTAAAACTATTTTCTTTTTTTTTTTCTTTCAATATTTTGTTTTATCATTTTATTTTTTTTACTTTTGTTGTTAATGTTGCTGAAAGGTTTATTTTTTCATTTTCAAAAATAATTTGCGTGACTCTAATTGTTTTTGTGTCCTAAAGTTAAAAAAAGAAAGAAATTATTTCATTTTCATCAATTCTAAATGAGTTCAATCCCGTTCTTGCACTTGTTGGTTTTATGAGGGCATTACCCACTTCCCTACTGTGCCGCTTAGCAATAAGTAGTAGTGTCATTGGTTGGTCCCCAAGAAAATGTATTTCTTTCTCTGAAGAAAACACAATGAAAATTAACAAATGAAAGTCGAAACTAATGGCGGTTCTGAGAAAGATCAATAGTTTCTTTTTCATTTTAGATTTGCTTATTTGTTGTTCACACCAGTCATAAGTTGTAGTTTACACTAGAGATCAAGTGACAGCAAGTTTCACCAATACTTGTGGATGTGCAGGTGGTGGTATGAGGATAAGCAGTTTGGAATGAGAAGTCAGAAAACCAAGTTCAAATTCCAGTATGTTTCAGGCCTAAAACTTTTCAGCACCCACTAGAATTTCAATCTTGTTCAGGCCTAGAACATTTCAGCACCCACTGGTAATAAAAAATTATTTAAAAAAATAATCAGCAAGGAGAATTTAGTTGAAAAGGATTATTTGAAAAAGTAATAATCATGAATGAAAAAAAAAGGTTGGCATTATGAACATTAATACATGGCCTTGTATCAATATATTCACTTATGTACAAATACTCTTGGAAAATTATGAATCCGTCAATCACCAATATTCTTCATCACTCTTAATATTCTAGATGTTTTCAGTAATGCCATTCTCTGAATGATTCCAACTCTTCCATTTACTTCAGTCTTTTTATTAAGCTTGTTAAAACTATTCTCATTGCTCTAAGAATAAGTGGTGTGATTTTTATCTGCATGTTCTCTAAGTTTTGCAACTCTCTGACAAGTCTTGGATATTTATCTGCTTTGTCATTTTCTTTCTGCTCTGCGAGAACAGGGAAATTCATTTTCTGGCATCTTCTTGGGGTTTTTTTTTGTTATAATCTTTCCACTTTATAGTAAGTTGTTTCCATGCTCTTTCAACTACTAGATATATTATATGGTACACTATTTACATTATTCGGACTATTGTCCTCATCTTTGTCGCCAGATTTATTACAACGTTCCAGCTGGTTGGAATGTCGAACTGAACCCTTTATTTCACTCACTGTGATAGACTGTTCTAGTTCCACGTGCCATGTTTAATGGATGTCAGTTGTTAGTTATCTCCTGATAATTCCCTTCTCGAGGTTCTCTACTGCCTTAACCGGGTATTGAACACATACTCTTTGGGTCCTGTCACTGGATCTAACCAATGCCTTTATCCACTGTGCCATGTGTCCTTGAGGACACATGGCACAGAAGGTTGGCACGAACAATGGCCGAAATGTTGTAATAAATATGGTGACAAAGATGAAGACAATAGTCCAAATAATATAAATAGTGTACATAATACCTCATCTCAGAAATATAAACAGATATTATATGGTAATAAATACTTTTTAAAATTTTTGTTTTTAAACCCATAATAAAAATTTGTACCCACAAAATTAAATGACAAATATTTATTTTTCAATTTAATTTTCTTTGTTGCTTAATTCACTAGTGACTTTTAAGATTGAACATTATACACTGAAAATTTCAGATCAAAATTCATCTTATGGTTGTGCTAGTTATGGTTATTAATTCATTCTGCCTCTTAAAATTTTTATTCATTCTAATGATAACATAAATAGTGTCAAAGCATACTATCTGGAATCCTATATATGGCTTTTCCAGAAACACAGAATAGTCTCTGGCAGCTCCAATTCTCATTGGCAATTATTACAAATAAGACTCTCTTTTCATTAACTTTTTACACAGCTTGTTGTTGCATATATGTGTTATAATTTCTCTGTATGGGGCAGATGTAACTATGTGTAT